TCAGGACAAGTAGATTGTCAAAATGTCCACACCCCCATCCAATACAGTGTATTAGATGTGAGAATGCAGAGGGACATGCCATTGCTGGAGTGGAGGGAGAGCGAGGCTGCAGGAACCAGTCTTGCAACCAGGTTCGGATTCCACGTAAATGATTCTAATGCAGGCAGGTAACGCACTGTATAGATTTTGTGGTGTGTTGCACTGCAAAGCTAATCGCACCCCAATGTACACATACAGTGCATACTGTAATACATAGATACATGCCTGTTGTGTTGACCTGTGCTGAAAAAATTGTGCAGAACCTATTTTGTATGCATTGACGGCCGATTCATTTTCAGTTGGGCTGTCTAGGTCAACTCTCCTCTCAACACACTGCGTCATGGTTTTATTGTGCGTTTTCTGGTGCTGCTATTCTGATACTGGCGTCCCTACCACTGAATAGCATTCGGGACAGGAAGCTCTGATGTGCATGTTCATGTCACTGCTTCAAGTAGTGAGGCCAGTACAGGATCAGGATGGTAGTTTAAAAGGTTTTTCTTTATATGGACAACCTTAGCTTGGCCCCGGATCACACCCAGGTCACTCCTTCCTTACTATGGTAAACATACGAAATACAAAATGGGGAATGTATTATAGTTGCTCAAACACAGGCTCCTTGTAACACCTGTACTGTTCCTTCTCGTCTCTATTATTACCTATTCAGTAGCAGCCGTCAGCTTGTTATCTTTTGTTCAGGTTCTGGGCTTTTAAAAAAGTTATATGGGTGGCTGTAGAGCTGCCTAATCACTTTTATGTGACTGCCCTCCCCCTCGCCAGAAATTCTTTCCTTGCTGTCCTGTGCAGAGTGTGTCGCCTCCTGAGCATTTCCGGGTTCAGAGCTGTCAAATACCATCTGAAAAGCCGGGTCATTTTGCATGTTTTAGAAGAGCAAGGACTGTAGTATTTGTGTGCGGTGTATGCAGTGAGTAGACTCACTGGCTTGATTTAACTATGCTCCTTCCTGTGTTAGTGTGATATGGCCACCCCAACCATTTGCTGCATCATTATTCTTCTTTCTCAGTCCTACAATCGCCCTTGGGTGTCCCCATTGGAAGATTTCCCCTCCAAGTCCTATGTTTTTTGGGTTTTCCTTCACTTCCACACTTGCCACTGGTCCCCAGTACATATAGAGTGAATCTTCCTAATGGGGACACACAGCAATAAAAACCCAACAGAGGTTTTAAACAAACAAAAAAAAGTTTTGGAGGGCTGGTATCTCCATCCCTTAAAACTCTGCTCTAGAGATATAAATAAATTAAAATTCATGACCTAGTTTATAGTTCAGGACATGCTATAGAAGATGACCAGCCCTGCCAAGAGGTTTGCTGGTCCTATTCTACATTTTTCTCAGATGGCATGATGTTTGTATGGTGTACATGAACCGGGTCCCAGACCACATCAAGGGTGTGGTCTGGGACTTCTGTGATTCTTCCTTCATATAGCAAATACACTAAATACAGTTGGGTCACGTTGATGGCCTTGAGGTCTGTTGTAACAAACAGGAGTGGATGCTCTCTTCTTTCTGACCTTGGTTTCCCTTTAACAAAATGTATCCTCATGATAGGATCACCCCAACTCTCTGTGCAAACACTTGCGTAGATCTAACAGTTACTAGCTGTAGTAGTGCTCACGTATTCCACAATTCTTGGAATTTGTACTCCGTATCATTGCAATAGAAGTCCATGAAAACAATTTAAGCGGGGCAACTTCCTCCTATATAAATGGGTCGTGCTCATCTCCTAGATGGAGCTGTGCATAGAATTAAATGAGCTTCAGTGCCTGAGAATGCCATACTTTAGGGCCTTGGTTCTCAACTGGTGGGTCGTGAGCCTCTCTTCAGTGGGTCGCCACATGCCTTCCGCTTTTCTAGGTGAGAGGCTCCTTCGCCTCCCCCTAGTGCAGCACTGTCAGTTCTCAAGCCAAGGCGCGCAAGGGAGCGGTACAAGCAATGCATGTATGGATGGAGCTCTGTCACAGTACAGCAGCCCACAATGGACCCCAGGCTGAGGATCCACTCCACTTCTCGTAAGGTAGGGAGACTGGGGGGACCTAAAATTAAATTACATTTAAAAAAAAATTGGAGTGCATATGTGAGATTGTGTCTGTGGTTGTGTGTGCCTGTCAGTGTTTTTGAGGGCCCGTTCACACTAGTACAGTCATTAATCACATAGTACCATGCGATTAATGTACTCTACCACGCAATCAAACCTACCGTGTAGGAGGTGTGTTGAATTGCCATTCATTTGAATAGTACCCCAAACGCACCTCCCACCCACAGTTTGTACGCCCCCGCACTAGAACGTGCGGTTCCCTAATGCCGTGCATTCTATTGCAGTGATTGGATCGCAACTTAATGACCAAGGACAAATGTGGGTCCTGAGGTCACAGAGGTTGAGAATCACTGCTTTAGGGAATCCCCTCTACCCCTTCCTAAACTGCTGCTGGACCACTTAGTGATTGTGTACGTCATTTTGAAAGCGAACAGTGAATGTGGTTTGTGTTCAGGAAACTCCATTCATTTCAAAATCGAGTGTTAAAACCAAACGACATTCGTCGCGTTGGGCATTATCGAATATTCTGACAAGATTACTCGAAAGAAACATTGGTACAAAATTCTAACCATGTATACTTCACTTTAAAGGTGGCCATACACTTTACAACCCTCGCTAGACTTTTGTCTTGCGAGGGTTGTAAAGTAATTTAAGAAAATTTACGATCTGCCCATCTTGGACAGGCAGATCGTACTTGCGATCATCACAATGGCTGCAATGCTGAACGGGCAGTGTGCGCACACCGGCCCGTTCGGCAGTTGTTGAACAAGCAGGCCACTAAGTCGCCGAGAATCGTGCGATTCTCGGCGGGTTTTCCATGTCAGCAAGTGTTGCTGTGCCCTTAAATATAAACACATGTCATAATGTACATTGAAGCGTGTCATAATGCATTGACATACGTTTTGATGCATTTTTATTGATTTTGGTGAAAAACACATCGCGTAGAAATGCAAAGCCATAAATCTAGCCTCTTCACAAATCATCCGCAGTCTAAGTAGAAAAGCCCGCCCCCTGCTGGCATCCGGCAGTGTGGGACCCTTTGCTCTCTGAGGAAGCAGTGATCTCTTTGCAGAGGTCAGACACACCTCTTGCTGAGTCAGAGCCCTCCAATCAACAGGGAGCATGAGCTTTGCTGATTACAGAGCTATAGGTCTGACTCAATAGGCGCATGTTGGACCTCTGCAGTGAGACCACTGCTTCCACAGGGAGCAAGGGTTCTTCTCTGCAGCTGCTGGCAGGAGTCAGACCTTTCTACTCGGGCTGTGGCTGCTTTAGAAAGAAAAGTCTGTGCATGTGAGTTACGTTCCAGAAAATCCATCGTAACCCGAAAATATTGCAAACCGAGGAGTTTACTTGTGTACAGTACTGCCGCGGTCGGCAGCAGACAGTACACCATGGGAATCAATAGCAAGACTGCTATTGGCTATTTCAAATTGCAATAGCCAATGGCAGGCCAGCTATTGAATCTCTGCCCGCTAAGAGGAGGAGGGTACCTGAGAGAGTTGGTTTTTTTTCTCAGGTCCGCACCTCTGCTCAGTGGGCGGGTGCAATAGCCAGCCTGCTGTTGGCTATTGCAATTTGAAATGGCCAATAGCAGTCTTGCTGTTGATCCTGGTTGTTTACATTCACCTGTCGGCTGCGGAAGCGAGCTGGCAGGTGAATAGGGAAGGGCAGCGCCTCAGGGTTGGTTGCTTGAGAGTTACTATTCTTAACTGGGAGTTTACTGTACAGTGAACTCCATCGTAAATGCGACAAATCGTAACTCGATTGATAGCAGCCTGAGGAGTATCTGTACATGAGACGTTTTGCTAAGTGGTAATGGATATATAGTGACTGGGGAGGTAGATGCAGCAATACAGGCACTGCATAATGTGTCCATATAACCACCACAACATAGAAATGGGCCATGGGGTGGGGTCTTTGCTTTTGTATTGCCCAGATTAGGCCATAAATAGGTTTTGGGGAAACGTTGATCACCTGACATCTTTTGCTATTTGGACACCTGAAGTTGTAAACCGTTTGCAGATCAATGTCAGTGTATTGCAGCAATAGGGTGGATGCAAATGTCTTTTATAATGCTAGGAACACAATTACCTTTGCAAACGCAGTGCAATAAAAAACAAATCTGCCTAAGATGATAAAATGTGCATATTTTGCAATGCATAGGTCAGGGCTAGGCACATTCCAGCTCCTGCAGAAGTACAAATATCAGTAGGCATTGCAGAACTGACCACCACAGGTATGACTTCCAGAGACAAATGCATGATGGGATTTGTATCACATCTAGAGGGCCAATGTTGCCTATGCTTGACATAGGGGAATGCACTGTAGCTTGTCAGTCTGCAGCTTGCCACACCTAGTCCTGTCCACTGCTTTCTGCATTGATAGCATGACCATTGTGAGCTGCAGTGCCTGGGTGGGGAGGATGTGAGACACAACTGAAGAAAAGTCATGAAGGTAAAGAAAGGTGTATTTGCTTTTCTTTTTGTAACTTTGAGGCGTGTTCATCACATAGTAACTGGATTTAGAACTTGTTTCGAGTGTTATAAAGGAGCCTTTAGTTGTGCATTAACCTTTTTTTTCTTTTCTTCAAAATTGAGTAACTTTTCTACAGTCTTCCCCAAACCTTTTCAATAAATTGGTTACTTCTAATCTTGTATACGAAGTCCATATGTAAACAAGGCATGGTATAAAATCTAAGGGTGCCTCCATTACTTTTATTTCTGTCCTTTCCCAAATGGTTAGCTCCTTCCAAAGGTTCTGGAGTTCTTTTGGACCAGTGCTTAGCAATGCTGGGCAGGCCTGTTAGATCTATCTCTGTCTTGTGACCATTACTGATCGATTTTAATTTTGGATGTGTTCGAGCGTTCAGAAAATGATGACACTTGTTTTTTCCCTTCTCTCTTTCAGACCCATTCTTGCAGTTGGTGGCCAAGGTGTGAAGTAGTTGCACGTTACCAGAATGAGTGAGTTGGAACAGTTACGGCAAGAAGCGGAGCAGCTCCGGAATCAAATAAGAGTAAGTCTTTGGCCAAGTGTGCTTGTGGGGGTACTGCAGCACTCTGCCCACAGTGGGCACAGTGGGAGTTATTGTGTGAAAGGGGACTGGGCTTGGGATTGACAAGGGAGATGTTTTTGGGTAGAAGGGAAGTCTTCTTGGGATTAATGGTGGCCGTTAGGGATCTCCCAATACCGATGCTAGCATCGAAATCGGGCCCGATACAGGGCATTTTGACAAGTACTTGTCAAAATGCCCCGATGCCTAGCGCCGAAGCTTGCACTGTTTTTTTTTTTTGTTTTTTTTTACTGTCCGTGGGGTCCTTTTTACCGTCCTCTGGGCAGGCTGGAGGAGCGTTGCGTCACTGCTGTGGGCGGCGCTCCTGGTGGGGTCCTAATGTGGTTGGCCAGCGACTGCCCAGAGGACTCTGCCTGTAGCTCCGCCCACAACAGTGACGCGACGCTCAGTGCCGCCGACGTCCTCGAAAAGGAAAAAAAAAGCATTCGGCACCTCGTGAGGCACCTCCATTGAACAGGCAAGAGTGAGTAAGGGCCTGTGCTGGGATGGCAAAGAAGACAGTCAGTAGTTGCTCACGATAAGGGGTCCTCACTGTCCCTATGTGTATGCACCATGGGTATCCGTACCGTCAAGCACCCAGGGCACATTGCCCACATCCCTGGGTGCTCAGGCTGCTTCCACCCACTGTTGATCTGTGGAAGTGGGTACAGAGGAGAGCTGGAGTGAGGGGGGGCAGAAGTGCTGAGATGTGGACGGGAATTTAGAGATGAGCTGTGGCTGGGTGGTGAAGAGGTGAGGTGTGAATTGTGGTGCAAAGGTAAGCTGTGGCGAGGGGGAGCAGAGTTTAGCTGTGGACAGGGGGTATAGTGGTAAGCTGTGAATGAGGGGGCAAAGGTGAGCTCTGAATGAGGGTTACAGAGTTTAGCTGTGGACATGGAGTTCAGAGGTGAGTCAGATGGTTTTTTTAAAAATGTCACCTGTCTCTTTAAGAAAAAGTATCGGTAATTGGTATTGGCAAGTACATGAGGGCCAGTACTTGTACTTGGTCTTAAAAAAGTGGCATCGGGACATCCCTAGTGGCCATACACAACTCGAATATCGGACGATTCCTGGTGCATCAACCTGTCGGCACCACCCATCTCAATGAGCTTTGATTCCAAAATGCAGACTATTTAGCTTTCTGATTGATGTGATTGGATCAGATAGGGTTGTATTTTTATAAAGAAAATTTCCAGAGCCAATCATCCTGCAAAACTGCATGTGCGTTTTGTTCTGTGGGAATGGAGGCAAAAATGAATATGTTCTTTCTAGGTCAATGTAATATCAGGAAAATACCACACAACAGCCACTAGATGGAGCTGAGGAGCAAAGTAAGAACTTTTCTCTGCTACTCGGCTCCATCTAGTGGCCTTAATGTGGTATTTTACTAATATTACATTTGACCTGACCAGAAAATATACCGACTTGATTTGTGTCATTGGCTCTGCAAATTTTTATATTGCCCTGTAATATTCTCACCACAAAAACACGTACAGAAGATTTATCAAAAACTAATCTGCAAATAAAACTTTACATACAAACACTATGTAAGCAATAACAATTCCCAAGTGTGGGGGGCCCTGATTAAAATGGACATGTTATACGTTTATAATCTTTTGGTGGTGTTCTTGAAGAATGTGCGTTTCTCTTATGTAATATGAATGCTTTGCTTTGTGTAGTAGAAAGGGGAATTACAAACCACTGAAAATGTCAGTACCTTATCCATATTTGACTGTTGATATGGAAGGTGACTCATCTGTTTGCACGGTCCTTCTGTTAGGCAGGATTATTTCTTTGGGTAAGCAAATGATGCCAATGAACAACTCCTGATCATAGATCCTCTTTTTCTCTGTTAGGATGCCAGGAAGGCATGCAGCGACACAACTCTGGTTCAGGTACATAGAATAATTGCACCATTTTATCCATGTATCTGTGCTCTCCAAACTCTTCTCCTCTAACACTGTATGTTGCTCTTTAGATCACGACGAGTTTGGACTCCGTAGGTCGGATCCAGATGCGAACTCGGCGCACATTGCGAGGTCACCTAGCTAAAATTTATGCCATGCACTGGGGTTCAGACTCGAGGTACGTGTGTCTTTTTATGAAGATGCTCCAGTGCGGTTTCCTAGTTTAAAGATCTTTTTTTTTTTTCTGCGTGTGAAAGTTTTACTTACTATGTGTCTGTGTAGATTATTTGTGCTTAGTAGAATGCCAAATGGCAAGCCTATTGTGTGGTTAAGGCTTCCTATAGGGCATTTGTGTGTGTTGGCATGACTTTAAGAATACAAAGGTACACAAGTTTTTTTTCTGTGTCTGAATCATTGTTCTACCCAACAGTGGCTGATGTATTTGTCTGTAGGCAGGTGCCCATTTTTGACTGGGTCAGGCAGCTGCCGCCAGATTACATTAAATTAACCGGCCATATGGTGCCATAAAGTTACCTCAGATGGTTAGCAGGCACCCTCTGGGGCTTCATTGTACCTTCACAAAGCCTACTTGCCTCCTCAGTGTGCTGCTGGAGCTCTTGTGCTAAAAGTAAAACCAAATGTACAATTCTCAGTGCCTGAATGATGGCTGATTAGAAGGCCCAAGCACTGTCACATGGAAGGAAGGTTTGGGCAAACACCAACTTTTGGAAGGGGTCTTTAGTGGGCTCCAGCAACAGACAAGTACTATAAAAGCACGTTCACGTGAAATCAAATTCAGATATGGTTGGATTTAGTGGACTGGCTTGAAAAACAACAAAATTGCAGTGCGATTTTAATTTTTTAATTACAGGTATCTATGCGACGCCGACAATTTACACAGCACTTTACATACGGTACATTTACATCAGTCCCTGCCCTCAAGGAGCTTACAATCTCAGGTCCCTATCTCACATGCATGCATACAGGCACGCACATCCTAGGACCAATTTAAATAGGAGGCAATTAACCTACCAGCATGTCTTTGGAGTGTGAAAGGAAAGTGGAGTACCTGGGGGGAAACATGCAAACTCCATGCACGTAGTGTCCTGGTTGGGATCTAAACCAAGTACCCCAGTGCTGCATGGCAGAAGTGCTAACCACTAAGCCCCATTAGAAGACGTTCAGTTGTTTGTCTGCCAGGAACCTTGATTTTACCCTTGGATTTATTTCCATGGGGTGTTAGAAGATACATCTCTGTGGTTTGAGGTTTTATTATCTTGAAGTGTACACATATGCAATGGGTATATTGAAGTATGACCGCTGCTGTCAGGCTGTGCTCCCTTTTACCGTGCCTGGTAATACAGTTTTACTAGGCATATGTCCTAGCTTGCATTTCTTGTGCTAGCTATGATGGGACAGATTTTACCCATTTATTTTTTGCTGACACTCCAAAACAGTCCTTTTTTTTTTTTCCTATGGACTGATTCCAAAATGAGCCATACAGGAAGTCAATCGGGTAGCATTTGAGCGTCTAGTAGTTCTGTATCTGAAAAACTAGAATTAAACAGCCCATGAGCCTTCAGTGTTTGTTGCAGGATGAATGATAAAGCTTGGTAATGATCTCAGTTGAACCTAAATGATTCTGGTGAACATACTATGTTACATAAGTGATATTTCTCATTTACACTGTGTATTTTTTTCCTATTTAAATCACTAAACTCCCTTGTTGCCCCTTTTTTAATTCTAGTGTTTACATTCCTGGTGTAATTTCTTGTAACGGTGTTGCCTTTTGTCTTTAGGCTATTAGTCAGTGCATCTCAAGATGGAAAATTAATTATCTGGGACAGTTATACAACCAATAAGGTAAAGTACTTGCCAGGTTTTAGACTATGTGTAATGGGTGCTTTAAGATTGCTGAGTAGTATGATTGTGTGTAGTGCACAATGCTGCAATTCCTAACTTGGCTACACATATGGTTGGGGCAGATAATGTGCAAATGAGAATTCATTCAGTTGGTCATCTCCACCATTTAATACACTGCCGTTTTTATTAACTTTTCTGAATATGAAGCAGCTACCGCCACTGGGAGTTGTATTTGGTGCAGACTTTACACAGTACTAGTTAAAGTGACACTAAACTCAGGAGTTAACTCTAAAAAAAATACATTAAAGTACCTTAACTATTAACATAAATGTATCTTATATGTGTATTACTCGGCTGTAGATCCTGAAATCATCTCTGAATTCATGGTGACACTGTCCTTCCTTCTGGAGGGAGGCCACTTTTGTTCCCCTCGGTCCCTGTGTGTGTTGCAAAGTAGCCACCACTCCCAAGGTCATACAATCTCACATTTTAGTGTACCAATTTGTATTGAGATTGTAGTCCATCATGGGAGCGAGCTTGGAGTGGTGACTACTTTACAACACACATAGGGACCATGGAGAAGTAGCCACACTCCAGAAGGAAGGACAGTGTCGGCACCAATTCAGAGATGATTTGAGGATCTACAGCCGAGTGATACACAAATCAGATACATTTCTGTTCATAGTTAAGGTACTTGAATGTATTTTTAAGATTTAACTCCTGAGTTTAGTGTCACTTTAAGATCGTACTTATCTGAATATTCAATCGGGGTACCTAATGTCTGTCAGTTGCTATACTGTCCTTCCTGACTCCCTGGCCATACACACTTTGAATCATGCCGTCCGATAACCAAGCCCTGTAGTCAAACAGAATGTGGACAATTAGAGGGCTCCAATATCTGACCCTGTTATGTGCTTATAAAGCATTTCAAACTTAGGCAATGATTGATAAGGCAGTGTAAAGCCCGTTCTGGAGGGTATGGTGTAAAATGTTAATGCTGTTGTCTGTTTTTTCTTCCTGCAGATGCATGCTATTCCTCTGCGGTCATCCTGGGTAATGACTTGTGCTTATGCTCCATCTGGAAATTACGTAGCTTGTGGAGGTCTAGACAACATCTGCTCCATTTACAATCTGAAAACGAGAGAAGGCAATGTACGAGTGAGCAGAGAGCTGCCAGGTCACACAGGTAAGATCTTCCAATCCATGTATTCTTATGCTGAAATAAATTACCTGGGTTTTCCACATGGGCATCATTGATCTGACTGCTCTAAAATGATGGCAGATCCCAAGTATCATTGAATTCAAGTTGACTTTCCAGCAGTTGAAATACATTTAAGAGAACTGTCTTTACCTGAAAAAAGATTTGTCATTATTAGCTGCTCTTGTGATCCAGCCGCCAATTCCAGATGGGGCAAGTTCAATGGTTTTCATTTTCCCCACAGCATTATAGCTTGTTCAAGAATGAGTTTATCCTGTACTGCAAGTGTGCTGCTTGTTGGATAGCACTGTGTAAAGCAATAGACTTCTAACCCTTTCTCTCCCAAACAAAGTATTGCTATATAGGGGTCTTTAGGGTAGAGGTTTTGCATAACTGAAAATGAATTACTTCAAAGAAAACATTAATGTCCTTTTACAAATCTGCCTGGAATTACACTGTCACCTTGTCACTATCCACTATGTCCACCCTCCCTTACCCTATTGTTATAATTAGAGGTGCATATTAGGGATCTAAACAGACCCCTGATATTTCCCTTTTTAAAACGGAAAAAGAGATCGAGTCCTTAATCTCTCTTTCTGCAGCCCCTGTTATAAATGAGTAGGAAGCCTCTATACTGAGTGTTCCTGTTCATTCATAACTTGCGGAGATAGTATGTTTACCATGACCACAATCATGAATGAACAGGCAGTGATGTAGAGCACTTCCTGTTCATAATTGAGGACACCCTAAACATACTATGTCCTCAATTATTTACAAGCAGTCAGCAATCGCTGAGTGCCCTGTACCGCTCTCCATCCTGACTTGCTGTCACAGGAGGCTGAGCGAGCAGTGTGGGGAGGAGAGCTCAGCCTCCTGTGACGGCTGTCTCTGCCCCCACACCGTTATCCTGATCTGTCACAGGAGGCTGAGCTGGGTGGAGAGCTCGACCTCTTGAGACATGCCGGCCCCTCACATCACTCTCCTACTCGGCCTCCTGTGACAGTTTCTCTCCTCCCTGCTGGATGCTGTGCTGTGTCAGAGGGGACACAAAGCAGCGCCCTGCACGGAGGATAGAAACCAGGCATGTACTGCAATTTTGGCTGAATGATGGCATTTTGCCAAAAGTGCCATATTTGGACAATATTTTCCGGAGGCCGGAATTTCACTGCATCCGTCGTTCGAATGAATGAATTCCAGTGCAGTGGGTCATAAATTGGAATGGTTAATTTGCAGTTTCACATCAGATTTTTCTACTTGGCTGTCTGTCCAACACATGAAGTGTCATTCTATTGCTATGTCTATACACTGACCTGATAAAACTGGTTGATGAGCTTCATGTATGCAGTGTTTAGGCAATACACTCCCATTCACTGACAACCATATCACATCGCTCCCCTGTCATGGTGAACTATCCAACTTTGTTCGGTGGATTATCAGGGAGGTGCTTACTATAAACCCATTTTATTACTGTAGACCCAACGCCTCAGCAAGAAGTAGTATATAAATGGACATCTGCTATTCGATTGGACAATAAAGAAAAAAGTCCCAAGGAATATGCCTTGTATATGAATACACAGATAGGGCGTGTGGATAATAAATGATAGGTTTTGTATGTGTGTGTCGGTTTATCTCTCTTCACTGTGGATCATGTCCTGCTGTTCACTAGGAAGCTCTGTAGACTCAATGATTTTGGTATGAAGGGTGTGTATATTTTTATAGGAGTGCCCGTCATTGTACTTTGTAACATCTGCGTGCTCTGTTAGGATTCCTTATCTTTACACATTTGTTTTTTCTTCTCAGGTTACCTTTCATGCTGCCGTTTTCTAGATGACAACCAAATCGTTACAAGCTCTGGAGACACAACTTGGTAAGTGATCCTTTGAAACTTTATCTAACCTCTAAAATCTGATTGAATTGGATTACTTTCTTCTGTATTTATGATTTGAACCAATACAAATCATTTACTATGCATGTTTCAGACCCCCGCGTTCCAAACCTAGCACATAAGGAGCAGGGTATGCTTCTGGGTGCTGTCCTCTTGATCAGTAAGTTTTAGGGTGAAGGGGGTTGGGTCCCTGCCATACTCAAGGGGTACGTGCACTCTTGGTGGGTGGCAGCGTCTCTGACAGTCTACATACTCACCTGTCTTTGTTCCACTGAGATCTTGACTCTGTGGCCTGCTCAGTCCTGCACTTCCCCTTGTTCCACCCCAGACTTCCTTATGATGATCCTACATGTATAGACTAATGGAGGGTTTTGAAGAATTGGCTGCACAGTGCGGAGTTGTCAGTATCTTGGAAGAACAAGGCTCCAAATGCTTGTAACTTTTCATATTTTTAGTTGCCCACTAACCTGTATCATTTTTTGCAACAATTTCTGTCTCCTGTACCTGAAGACTACAGCTGACCATACGCTGCCTGAATGTGGGCCGCGTCCTGCTGACATGGCTAAAATTCAAACAGTGTGTGGCCTTGTTGGTACCTCTCCATTTGACTTCTGGATTAGGAACTAGTCTGGAAATTGGCCGAACAGTCACGGTAGCCAATCAGCTGCAGTTGCTGTACCTGTATTGTGAGGGCAGCACAACTGCCGCTGTCAGAATACAGTAGCTGGGGGAGGGTCTCCTCTATTTACATAGATGCGGGAATCAATCGTCTCCTTAAGCCTATAGGGCTGGACAAGAAAAATCAGATAGTGTATGCCCAGCCTAAATTCAACCATAATAGTTTCTCCAGTTCTTTTATTAAGCAAAACAAATTGAACACGGAGTATGTTGATTTTAGTTTTAGGATGTGATGAGTATTACTTTTCTTTTTTCCAGTGCATTGTGGGATATAGAGACCGGACAGCAGACCACGACCTTCACAGGGCACACTGGAGATGTGATGAGCTTGTCTCTGAGCCCTGACATGAGGACTTTTGTCTCTGGCGCTTGTGATGCTTCTTCTAAGCTGTGGGACATCCGTGATGGAATGTGCAGGCAGTCGTTTACAGGACACGTGTCCGATATTAATGCAGTCTGTGTAAGTAGTATGAAGTATTCTTGTACATCCGATAGTTGAAAGGTGGCGATTATTGGCCTCATTTTATACATTTGGGTACGGTTATTGATGGTAGTCAGCGCTAATGTCACAGAGATAATGAGAATAACATACGTAGGTGTACCAAGCAATCATTTGCTATTCCAGCATTAAACAGTCTCTGCGGTGCATTGGCGCCCAGGTGTAATGTGACCTATGCCGTAGTGTGGCAATTGGGCCGATGACAGTGGGATCTTTCGTTATATTGCTGTAGTAGTTCTGATTGCTGAAGAAAGTGTTTCAGTCTATCATTTTGCCAGCAAATTGTGCAAGTGCATTATCAGAATTACTAATGGCAGTCTAGAGCTACTACTCATTAGAAACACATAAGGGTCATCTGTAGATAATTAGTTTTTTTTTTTTTTGCTTCCCAGACCAAGCTAAACATCACTTAACATGTCAATAACTGGCTAATTTTTCTGATTGACAGCAGGGCCTGAGAACTAGGAACACACACAATTGCACATTCCTAATTCTCTGCTGCAGGCTTAATTAACATTCTCATTTTACATTCAGACTTCTAAAATCGTATTGTAGCCCCAAATAGTTAGGGATCTCTATCAGTAATCAAGGACGGGAAATGGTTTAGTTCTGCCATTCTGATGATGATGATTTTGTTTCAGTTTTTCCCCAATGGGCATGCCTTTGCCACCGGCTCTGACGATGCGACATGTAGGCTGTTTGACCTGCGTGCAGACCAGGAATTGATGATGTATTCGCATGACAACATCATTTGCGGTATCACATCAGTAGCATTCTCTAAAAGTGGTCGTTTGTTACTAGCGGGATATGATGACTTCAACTGCAACGTATGGGACACTTTGAAGGGTGAACGAGCAGGTGAGTGTTTAGGTTACTGATACAGCAGGGTTGATTTATTAGAGGAATAGAACATGTTCACTTTGTAAAGACCAATTATTCCAGAATGCTTTAAATGTCTTGTATCTCTAGGAATTGTAAAGGGCTGAAAGTGTATGTCAATTTCAAACATTTTTTCTTTACGCTAAGGAAGAGTTCTTCTCCATATCAGGTTTTTGTTTTTTTTTCCTGCCTGTGTCCTGCTTGGGAAATTTCTCTTCACTTCCTTCCTGGAGAAACAACAGGAAATGAAAAGAAATCTCTCCAGTGAGGGGAATTCCCATCTTAGATAGTTGTCACAGGGACAGGTGTCCGCATTGGAGGAGTCCCCCTCACTGCTTGCTTTGGTGGCAACTTTACAATGTTGGATTTCCTCTCACTTTCTATATCTGTGACAGTGGCCGCCAGGGCAAACAGAGGGGTGACTCTACCTAGCAGAGATACAGACAGAAATACTAACTTGACAAAAGGTTTAACCTTTCCCTATACAGACACTTTAAACGGGTACACCTTTTCTGTCATATATTGTAGTATTTCCCACAATAAACCTTTAATTGGCTTTTATGATTATCTAGTTGGATAGCGGTGGACATACACACATGCTCAGCTCTAGCCTCATGTTTGTAGCTGAAGTCTGTATTAGGAGGTTTGTAACTTTCTTTTCTCCAGTCGTCTATCAAGGACAGTAGGGTTACCAAGAGAGCACTCTTGGCAATGATAAACTTTAGGGGCCGTGGGCCTATTGGACAGAGTGGCATTATACAGCAGGAAGAAGGGCAAGGGCAATCTGCGGAAAAACTTTGAAAGCTTGGAGGCCTGGTGTCAAGAAAGAAAAGCGGCTATGAACACTTCTTCTATCCTAGGGTTCTTACAAGATGGGGTTGACTGAGGACTAGAAGGTCCAGTTGGTGGCCTTCCTAGATAGAAGACTGGCTATTTATTGGCCTCCCTGTTTATCTAGGTTTTTCAAAGCACTCTCTAGGAAAAGATCTAGTCTGGTCAAAGTTTTTTTCCTAAATGTGATCTTTCCCTGGTTCTTCAGAGGTTAATCTGAACTCCTATTGAGCCCATGGACTTGAAAGATAACTATGGGGTAAGTGTTTTTCCCCATAGTTCTCGTAAGGGTCACGGGACTAGCGTCCTCCCGCGACCCAAAGCTCACTATATCGCAAGCTACAGCTCGCGGTATACTGAGACCGCTGCAGCCGGGACGGATCCCAACATTACTGTCGATCCACCCATCTGCGTGAGTGACAGCTGGCTCTGCCTATCTAGAGGCAGAGTCAGCTGTACCCGCCCCCTCCCCCGTCCGTTCCGCCATTCAGCGCTGGAGAATCGGAGAGGAGTGGGGGATCCCTGCAGGGACCCGTGACTGACAGTCCCGGCTCTCTGCAGGGAGATGATCGAGAAGTGAGCAAGCGACGGTATGTGTTCACTCGCTTCCCGATCTATTGAGCCGACCTGTGACAGTCTCATTGTCACAGGTCGGCTAGAACTATGAGGTGAGTGATTTTCACTCCCCTCATAGTTCTCCTTTTTTAAAGTTTATCACTTTCAAGAAATCCCTCTTGGTAGCCCGGCTGTCCTGGAAATAGAATGATCGGTAAGTCTAACGCTGACTTTTCTTTTCTCTTTGTGCTTCCAGGGGTCCTTGCTGGTCATGACAACCGAGTGAGCTGTTTAGGCGTAACTGACGATGGCATGGCTGTAGCTACAGGGTCTTGGGACAGTTTTCTCAGAATCTGGAATTAACTTGGGCAAAGATAGCTGATCTTGTTAATTCTCCACCGAGATCTGGAGAGGTCAATGCTGCAGCCTATAGCTGTGAAATAACATTTCTACCTTGTATTTGCAGGTGAAGTTTTTCTATTCACTGATTATTATTACACAAAAAAAAGGCTTTCTTTAAACTAGTAAAAAATCAAGTTGAGGTCATAAAGGGTTCAAAGGGGGAGAGAGCACTGGTGACTATTTCAAAGGGGCTAGCACACAGGATCATGGTGACCGAGAGCCTAGGAGCCAGTCTTTATTTTGTGGCTTGGTTAAGTTGTTTTAACCCTTTTGCTGCTAGAAAAGTCAGTTTTGCATTGTAGACCTTTACAGCAGCCACACGGTTAAAGGATTTCTGCTTTGTGCTCAAAGTCTGCTGAGTCTGTACCTGTTTTTATTTTTTATTTTTTTTAATTATTATTTTTGTACATACCTGAATGTACACACTATAGCAGCCGATCATGTAATGTTTGTATGTAAAAAAAAAAAAATGACATACTTGATTGTTGTTTTTTTTTTAATTATTATTCTTTGTGAACTTGCTGTGGATGAGATGAATCATTGCTCTGTGTTTGTATCCATACGGTTGTAGTATATCTTCACGTTTAGACAGGCCAGTTTGTATATCTGCTCACCTCACCTTTTCCATATGGTATAATGGCATTGATAATTTGTGCAGTACATATGCAGGAAACATGTAACCCACTAGTCTGATTCCTGACTCGGATGCACTAAATGTAAATTGCTAAAATCCCCATCTACCTGCACTGAAAAAAGACTTGAACTTTTTTCTTTTGGGTCCTTCTTCCTTTTTTTTTCTTCTTTTTCAAAGCAACTCATTCATTTTAGTGATTTATTTTTTTTTTTACTTTCTCACGTGACAATCATGGATGAACAAATCGGTTTACACCTTTTTATTAGCGACTTTATGGAAAAATAGTGTCCTAGATGACCCATGACTTTTAATTTCTGAAGTTAGATTGTCATAGCTTACCAGAAGCTGGCCAAATCTGTTCTATTGGAATGGCTGCATTTCCGCACAGTTGCATAGTATGCAGTAGAAGCACACATGGCTGTGAAGTTGTCTAAACCTTTTGTAATTCTGTTTTAGACTTGCATTCTGTCACACTTTTGATGTGGCTGAGAGGGGAGATATTGGAGGGTGTGCACAATGCAGGGCAGTCGTCTGGTAGACTAGAAGCAGATGAAGACTTCTTGAATTGAGGTGGCTGGGTTAAAATGCACTTTCAGTAAGAATAATGAATCATTCAGCTAGCTGTTGGGCCTTGTATTGTTTCCATTGGCTAGTTCAAGTAGAATTGCATAGAAGGTAATTGCACTTCTGAGGATGGCTGCAGGCCCAGCAGCAAGGCTTATTGGTGCCAGGACAGTGAGCTGGTTTGGACCACTGTCTATCAGAATTTGCATTCTAGCCTTTGCACCTAGACTGTCTATAAAGTCTTCTAACCCGTCATGACACTGACGCTTGTTTTATAATGACATACTTTCAGCTCAGTACCCATCTGTGTTCCACTGGTTTAGGATAGCTCAGTCTGTGCATACAGCCTTAAGGTTGCATCACTTCATTGCTGGCCAAGCACAGGTGCCAAATCGTCTGCTTCTGCATCCCGTTCCCACTGAGGTCTTACTTCAACCAGGTGATTCCTATGGATAGCTGATGATCTTTACCCTGTTCTGACAAATGTGGGTGAACTCTGTCTGCTGCATACACCACAGGGAGTTTAAGTTTAGTGTTACCATTTATCATATACAAGTGTGCATAGGTGCCTACCAGTCCTTTAAAAAAAAAAGAGAATTTCTTCGGTCACATTGCGCAAACATATTCATCTAGTATTCAGTTTGTACAGCCAGCGAGGGGCTTTGTCCTGTATGACAGGTAGAGGTCAGGTAGAAATGCAAGAATCCAGACATAAATGGCCAGGTAGACATGCAGGGTCCAGACATTAGAAGCCAGGCAGACGTGCGGGGATTCGAGGTCAGGTAAACATACAGGAATCCAGACATTAGAGGTCAGGTAGACATGCAAGGGTCCAGGCAATAGAGGTCAGGTAGACATGCAGGAATCCAGGCAATAGAGGTCAGGCAGACATGCAGGAATCCAGGCAATAGAGGTCAGGCAGACATGCAGGAATCCAGGCAATAGAGGTCAGGCAGACATGCAGGAATCCAGGCAATAGAGGTCAGGCAGACATGCAGGGTCCAGGCAATAGAGGTCAGGCAGACATGCAGGGATCCAGACATTAGAGGTCAGGCAGACATACAGGAATCCAGGCAATAGAGGTCAGGCAGACATACAGGGATCCATACATACAGGGATCCATACATTAGAGGTCAGGTAGACACGTGGGGATCCAGACATTAGAGGGCAGGCAGACATACAGGGATGCAGACATTAGTGGTCGGGTAGACATACAGGGGTCCAGGCAATAGAGGTCAGGTAGACATACAGGGATCCATACATTAGAGGTCAGGCAGACATACAGGGATCCAGACATTAGAGGTCAGGTAGACACGTGGGGATCCAGACATTAGAGGGCAGGCAGACATTAGTGGTCGGGTAGACATACAGGGATCCAGACATTAGAGGTCAGGCAGACATACAGGGATCCAGACATTAGAGGTCAGGCAGACATACAGGGATCCAGACATTAGAGGTCAGGCAGACATACAGGGATCCAGACACTAGAGGCCAGGTAGACATACAGGGATCCAGACACTAGAGGCCAGGTAGACATACACTTCTTTCCTATAGATCAACTTTGGAGTATGGTCAGACACCTACAACTTCTCTTACCTGGCTTATCTTGGGGGTAAGAGAGATGGCAGAAAATATCCCCAGAGATCTATATTCCGGCATCCATCATCACACCTGTAAGACTTTAAAACTGTGTTTGTGCCATTTCCATAATAATACCTAACCATTAAGGTTCCTATATGCTCCTTTACATGCTGGTAAAATGTTGTACAGCCAAATATTACGTTGCCACTTCCTGGCTTGTGATCACATTCCCAATTGCTATTAGGTGGCCATTTCAGCTTCCATTCCAGAAGTAATTGACTTCATCAGCTTTTGTTCTTGAGCACTTGTATGAGGTGGCCTCACCTTGGCCCGGTCCTACTAATGTGCCAACGCTATGTGCTTTAGGACATCCATAGTTCACATTCCCAAGCTATGGTCCCACTAGCATGTCAAGAGGAAAGGTTTAGAATGAAGGTGAAAAGAACATTGATCTTCAGACCTGAGCACATTGGGAGCGGATTTCACAAAGCGTTCCTACTCATTACTGTTCCTTATATACATTATATCTGCCAAAAATGAAGTGTTCTTTCTGGATATGAAGGTCCAAGAGCCAAAACGACGATAAAATAGGTGCCGTGTTTTATGTGTAAGCTGCTCCAGGCATAGCTCCTTAATGGAATGAAACCTTTGTAAAAACCTGTTGTGGGTTCATTCCTCAGAGACGTATGAAGGGCAGTGATGACGTGTGAGTGCAGACATTTGTAATAATCCAACAATGAAGGGGTACGATGGGGTTCCAATACTCTGCGCATTATCATTCCTCTGTATGCTCTGTTGTGGAATGAGCACATTGGTTGAAAAGCGCCTAATTGTCATTGGGTGGGAAGAGACAAAAGTCACTTTAACTCAAAGGCTATCCAGTGACAAAACCGCTTGTCCTTTGCACCCAGCACATAGTCATAGAGTGGAGGAAGCCTTCTGAGGGCATGCTGTGACATCACTTTGTACTTCAGTGATGTCACTGGTTTTTGTGGCAGTTTCTGGCATATTTTCTCCTGAAGTGTTAGAGCCAACAAAACTTCTAGTGTTCTTGTGTGACTTCCTGTTCCTGTTATTACTGTGCCTCTCGCCATGTTTCCATGAAGAACGTGCCAGGCAGACTTCTACCTTCTACATCACTTTTCTGCCCAGCCAGTCTTCTGAAACGTGTACCTGACGCACACGGACTCCTTCCAGCTGGGGGACATCTCCCTGTTGCAGATTTGCAGCTTCTGCTTTCATTTGCCAGACTCTTAGACAATAATTCAGAGATCGGTGATGCTGATTTTGTCTGTTGAACAGAAAGGTGATACTGGAACCTGCAGAGCTGAGATAGGAAATCATAGTCTCGCCTTCCTGACTGTGCTGTGTGGTTCAGGGCTGTAAATCACAAGGCTGGCTGAACAAAATGGAAAATATTTGGGCAGGTGAAACGGTTCACATATTTGGATTTCAGCCGTGTATTTAGTTTTTTACGTTGCGGTGACTTTAAAGTGTTATTAAACCCTCTGTGGAAGAATCATTAGAATAAAATGTAGCAGCATAAGTTGCGTAATCCTTGTTTCCTAGTAGTGCTCTGGAGCTGTGTTCAGAAGGATGCGCAGCACAGGCACATGCACAATAGGGTGGAATCATGGGAAATGTAGTCCCAAAGATCTGATGTGCTTAGGGTGCCCTCCCAAGCTGGACGTTTAGGGAAGTGCTACAGAGAGGGATGCAGGAGACCCAACCTGGGATACATTGAAGAATATATATATATATATTAGCTACCAGTTGGATGTGGCTTATTGTAAATGGTGTTATCACACTGAGGGTTCCATACTACGTTTGAGCGTGCTGCAGTGCCATCGCCTCTTGTCTATAGCCCCCGACCTTTTAAAGTTTCTCCTATGACAAGGTAGATGTGTTTCTGATGTGAAGTGGCCAGGAGTACCAGGATATACATATGACTTTTTGGCTTTGTTGTAGTAAGCAGGATTTTCTAAGAGTACATGTGAAGTTTACTATGTGTAGACATTGGCCACAAAATTGGCCCAGTTTCTCTATACACGAGCTGGGCCGGTTGTGTAGTATGTCGGGTATTTCATCTTTGATGGATTGTATTCACAGGGAAATGCTGATCCCTAAGAATCCTTCATATATTTATAGCCGGTTTTCTTCTGACTAGAAATCCACAAGGTGCCAATATCTAAAACCGGTTATAATGCCAACTCGAGTGAACCACTGTGTCAGGAGCGTGTTCCCACTTCTGACACTTGTGGCAGCCATTTTGGGGGGCAGATGCAATATGGTTGCCCCCAAACCTCTTTATGTGCACCGGCTGCTACATGAAGTATAGGGCGTGGGGCTCCACATTGCCAAATGACAGCTTGTGACGTTTCATATGTGCATTGAAAGGTAGCTTCATGTCGGGTGCATTGGAGGCATGCTACTCCTAAGACACTTTCATCCATAGGTGTCTGTGTGCCGTGCTGATATACTAAAGAGCATTTCACTGATAACATAGTAAATGTGCAGCTTTGAGCTCTAAATTCTCCTTTGCCAAATATGCAGAGCCCCGAAACTGACTTCTTTTTGGCCTTCACTGGTTCTATAAAGACCCGTTCTATAAGATAGCCCCAGTCACGTGTATTGGACCTTAAAGGGGCAGGCCGTCACTTTTCTGCCTCGATGGGAAAGTGGACTATACGGTGCGCCTTCTCCTACCAGAATAAGCCGCTCTGCATTCAGTACATTCCAACACTATGGTGTTCTAGAAGACCATTGCTACTATTGGCCTCATGTACTGTATCCCAGTGTCTGCGTAACTGAAGCTCAGGCGAACATTTGTATCCGCAGTGAGGTTTTCTGGAAGAGTGAGCGAATGTGCGAGTGCGTTTCATGTGCAAGTAATGAAGCATGGTTCATGAGCACCTTGTCTACTCTCTGGCATGCATGCTAGTGAAATCTCTTCCTGAAGTTTCCGAGGCACCACTGGCCTTGTCTCTCTTCTCTTTTTATCCAATTGCTGGTTGTATAAAATACATGCAGAATGTTTAATGCCGTGTTGTATGGTAATATGTGCAAACAGTGTTACTGATTGATATAATAACCTAATAACACATTTACATGTGCCTCACCAATTCTTCTACCACACAGTATGATAGGGTTCGAATATTATGGACTTCAGTGGAGACTAGTTCTAGAACGTTGCAGCCTTTTATTGCTTTCTTTACATAGTGGTGCTTAATCCTGTGTGTTTCTCCATTCTGGGGGAATAAAGGCAAAAAGAAAAAAAAAATACATAAAATCTCTCTCTAAAAAAAAAAAAACACAAAAAAAATCCCTCTCCTTCTTCTTCTAACATGTGAGTTATACACTTTATATCCATTGAAAGTCCAGGGTTTAGTTGCTTTTGAGGAAACATTGTTTGGTTGCTGTAATATACACTTTTACCAATTGGACTATTCTAGCACATTCATTTTATAACATTTTTACTCATGTGTTGCTGACTTTGACAAAAGGCTTTATAAATATCGATTCTGAATTAATTCTGCACTGCCTTTTGGATTGTGTATGTATTAAGAACTGTCTTAAAGGTTTTAAGCCAATTAAAAACCAGGGACATACCGTGCTTTTTTTTGTTTCCCATTTCTTTTATTCTGTTCTCCTTTAACAGTCGCTGTTGTTTAAACAAAAACAAAAATATCCCTGTGAAATAATCACTTGCTATATACGTTTTGTTTATATTTTTTCCACAATTGATTTTTTTTCTTTGTATTTGTACAGTGGCTCAGTGAAACCAATATGTTGCCATGAATTGATATTGTAACCAATAAACAAGTGCTTTTAACCAGATGACTGTTGTTCATTCTTCTTCATAACAATTTGCCTTCTCTGTCGTTTTAATGCAAAAAAGTTAAGCTGACCTGATCTTTTAGGGCCTGTTCACACCAGGCACAGTGCGTTCTGGCCGGATCACACGAACGCAGTGCAGCCGGCTCACATTGTTGTGGGACAGGAGGGGGTGTGGCGGTCCATTGAAGTGAATGGCATCGTAGTTACGCCCTCTGGCCGCAATGCGTGGCAGTGCTACGGTAGCCCCACTGCAAGGGTTAATTTTGAGGAAAAAAAATCTGATGTCCTTAGAAATTCCCTTTTAAAAATACACTAAAGTGGAGATGTGAACCAGACTATAAGAAACATTTCTATTTAAATTGCTGCAGGAAAATGGACGACCGCTTACCAGACCCTCTGTTCGTCCTGGAGATCACGGCCATTCCAAAACAGAAGAGGTGACACAAATGGCAATGAGTACAAAAAGTCATAAGTCCTGTAACACTCCTTACTGAAATCCCCCCCCCCCCCAAAAAAAGTAAATGGGTGGTTGAAATGACAGCGGATGGCGTTGCACACAAAACAGCTTTAAATGTAGATGTCACCAGCACGACAGAAGCTCGTAAGTCGGTGCTTATGAGTAGAAATGTCTACTCTGAGCCTGATGAAGGGGACCCTGTGTGGCCCCGAAAGCATTTGTTATTCTGAGTGACCTATTATAAATGGATTTGCACTGACATGAGCTTCTGTCGTGCTGGTAACATCTACATTTACTAATGGCAATGAAAGCCGAGGTTCTAATTCTAACCCCTTTTTTTTTCTCTCTGATGTGAACAGGCAAACATTAGATCCCCATTCAGGGCCTACATATAAAGGGGATAGTTTTGCTGTTTCATAAATATCAATAGATGTAATGGTGTACTGTGTAAAAGGTAAGTAGGGATTCCTGGTATGGCTGCCCAATGAGGCGGCAGAAGGGGCCGCTGGGGCTCAGCCTCGGAAGCTGGTATTTCCCCCCATAACTGCTCACTCTGACATGGACTCGGTAACATTCTGGCCACTTCTCCATGCTAAATGTCTTCCGTTGTAAGCTATTTGTTTCCTGGTATGAACTGCTGGTTTCCAATACTCTTCTAATATTTCCGAGAGATTCACATTAGGCCTCTGGGTAGACTAGTCCATAACCCTCTATTTCCACCACCATGCATCACAGTTTGTATGATGATCGTCTTTGGTTTGCACATTTGTCTCGGAGGACCGGTCTTTTCCTATACAGGTGAAACTCGAATAATTAGAATATTGTGCAAAAGTTCATTTATTTCACTAATGCAACTTAAAAGGTGAAACTAATATATGAGATAGACTCATTACATGCAAAGCAAGATAATTCAAGCCGTGATTTGTCATAATTGTGATGATTATGGCTTACAGCTCATGAAAACCCCAAGAACCCCAAATCCACAACCTCAAAAAAGTAGATTATTACATGCAATCAATAAAACAAGGATTGTACATAGAACAATATCGGACCTCTGAAAAGTACAAGCATGCATATGTACTCAGTACTTGGTTTGGGCCCCTTTTGCAGCACTTACTGCAATTACTTTTGCACGATATTCTAATTATTCGAGTTTCACCTGTACATTCAATGGCAAGCTGTAGTCTTACACTAATATTCTTTTTGTACAGCAAAGACTTTTCTTTATCGTCCATTGAGGGACACATGGATAGAAGACAATCATAAATAATTGGGTTATACTGCTGCCATCAGGAGGTCTGGGGAAATTGAGCCAGTCCAATATACTGTATAACCCTGCCTCTAATCATGCTTCAGTTTTTTTGCTAGTGTCCAAAGTAGGGATGTCCCGATACCGATGCTAGTATCGGAATCGGGCCCGATACAGGGCATTTTGACAAGTACTTGTACTTGTCAAAATGCCCCGATTTTCTCTCTGCTCTGATCCATTACAAGGAGAATATATTAGCCACAGAGCAATGCACAGGTCCATAGTAATGTCACAGCTTCCAGTGTAAGCCAGTCTCTGAAGACTCGCTCTGAGTAGGCCCATGGATGGGGCATAGATATGCTAGAATGTGACCATTGGGCTTTGTATGGCACTTTCTAGACCTGTGGGTACTGTGTCAGCTGTGTGTACTGGTCAGTTAGTGGTAGAGCACTCTCTAGATTCAGCAGTGGCCCAACCTCTAAGGCAGGGGTGCCCATTAGGTAGATCGCAAAGCGAACACTGGTAGATCGCGATCAGCTCACTGACCTGTGTCCTGTCCTCCCGCGGTGCTCATGTGGCTGAGATGGGACGGAGAGAGGAGAGGAGACTTGGGAAGCTGCTGCAGTGGAGGTAAGAAAAGACAGACAGGAGAGAGACGGCAGAGAAAGTGACAGAAGAGACAGCAGAGAGAAAAGAGACAGTAGATAGAAACAGGGGAGAGATAGAGGAAAGAGAGGGCCGGTTCACACCACAAAGTCTGTGTTCCAGAGTGTTCGGCCTCTAGGACGCATTGGACGGCAAGCTGGCCGACTCCCATCGTTCAGGGGCAGGGACGTAGCGGTGCATTGAAGTCAATGGCACCGCAGCCATGCCCCCCCCACCCTCCGTGTGATCGCCCGCACAAAAGGAGAACATTAATGTGCCTGCGTTCCTAGTGCGGTGATTGCACTGGGGGCGTGGCTGCCGTTCCATTTGACTTCAATGCACTGCCCCGCCCCGCCCCGCCCCTGAATGCAGGTGTTTTTCATTGGTAGATCTCTTTGAGCTCGTCATTTGAAAAGTATATCTCTAGACGAAAAATTGTGGGCGCCCCTGTTCTAAGGTATACCCAGTCTCTGGAGTCTTCCCCTGACACAGATATATTGGTAAGTGGTAGACATGTGCGCTGGCAAAAAATTTGTTTCGTTTGGATTCGGATTTTGGGTCACTTCGTTTTTTCGGAATTCGGACGAAATTCGTTAGCGGTAGTAGTTTTCGTTTCCGTTCATTTGTTGCAGCAAAGTGACATTTGAGTGGGGAAAAATGTTTTTCTCAGTTTGCTGCAACGAACAAACAAATAAGAAACGAAAACGACTACCACTAATGAATTTTGGAAACGGAAATTCAGATTCGTTTGCATTTGTTATATCTGTAATTCATAAAAACATCCGAATTTCCGAAAATGTGTCCGAATTTCGTTTCGGAACGAATCGCAGATGTCTAGTAAGTGGTATCTTTGCCATCAGCTTTGTATGTGGTGCCTTCCAGACCTGTGTGTACTGGCCAGTTAGTTGCTAGTTCTGTGTAACTTATCCTGTGAAAGTATACCTCCGAAACAAAGGCATCCTGATGTTATCTTCAGACACTACACACCCCATGTTGTTCTTCGTCCTTGAACCGAGAGTGCTCTCATCACTGGAGCAAACGTATAACTCCGGGTATACCCAGTCTCCGATAATACTTGATCCGATGGAAACTTTAATATGTATTTGGACATTAAACTCTGGCATGACGCCCAGTCCTTGTACTGTGCCTGTTGGTGGCACAATACCGGTGTGTCCCAATCTCGGGACAGACTTATCACTAGATGTCTGTTTGCAATGAACACATTTTTGAGGTGACCTTTGTGCACTGGATACTGCTTAAGTACTGAGTATCCAGACCTGGACAGTGACCATGTTCCTATCACTCATTAATGAGCTGGTTTATGATCCAGGAACAGTGGGAATTGCCTCCTGGATTTCAGCTGTTAGACTCCATATTTTAAAGCCTTTGCTTCCTGAGGTAACTCCATCATTATGTGTGGTCACAGCGATGATGTCACTCACAACATACAGCTCTGCACAAAGATATTGCAATATGTGACTTTGCATTGTAGCACTAACCATGCTTTTTGTCCTGTGTCGTTTTACATGCAGTGGTACCACCTCAGGTATATAACCCAGGCTCTGTTTACCTCCGAACACAGCAAAGAGAACCTGCTATGTGACTATCATTAGAGGTGTCTTCTGATCCTTCTTTCCCCCCCCTCAAGTGGGGGGTCTGTCTAGAATTGCTCTGGCAATCTAATCCTGTTCATATAATCGCACTCTGTTATTTTTATATATATATATATATATATATAGAAGTTTTCACATCTCGCTGTGCAACTCCTTTTTCTAGCTGTATTCTGCCCTATGTCAATTTTCACTGTTTGTGTTAGTGATGTTTGGATACCAGTGCCGATACTTGCCATTTTCACAGGAACTACCAGGCAAACTGGGCCCCGGTACTCCAGCACTGTTCCAAAATCATTAGTCTGTATTGTTTTAGAAAAACTGTCACACTAAACAAAAATATATCAGTACTCGTATCTGTGAGGACTTGGGCAAGTATCAGTACTTGTATTTGCAAAAATGGTATCTGTGCTCCCCTAATATATTTGTATATAAAAAGAAAATCGTACATTAAAACAGAGATGTACAAATCCCAGGAGCTCCGTGTGCTCCTTACAAATGACAGCTGCCTCCTAACGTTTGAATTTTTCTCCAGCCTAGTCTTGGAGCAGGAAAAGTATCTGTACTTGTACCAAGTATACGGAACTTGGTATCTGAACATCCCTAGTTTGTGTAATTGGTGACAAGCAGTCTGCTATCCAGTCTTGGGCGGTGTTTGCAGCTCCTTTTTTTGCTGATCCTGTACCCCACCCCATCTATATTCTGAGTAGGCGGGTAGGGCTGAACTACAAAATCTACCACACCTTTTTTTTTTTCTAAAGTAATGGTTCAGCCTAAAATAACTGTGCTGACTTATTCCGCTAGGGGCAGATAACACATGCACCCCCCTACACTCCTTCCCACCTTTCTGGCCTCTAGGAAATCTCAGACTGCACACCTGCTGGTACAGACATTGCTGTCCTTTCCGGCCTCCAGCCTTGCTATAGTATCTGCCCTCAGGGGTTTAATCACTTGGGCTGCCTGAGATCCTCACCTGCACCTACTGCCTAGGTTCTATGCTACCGCCTTGCATTCATTTATCGGTGCAACATGTCTATTAATATTAGGGCTGCACCGATATATCGGCCGAAAATGGCACTTTTGGCATAATGCCGAAAAGAGCCATGTTTCGGCCGATACATCGGGGCATCCCTGGTTTCTTTTATCCCCGCTGGGCGCTGCTCTGTCCCAGCGGGGAGAAAAGAAAGTGACAGCCGGCCGAGCGCTGCAGGACGAGAGCGATGTGAGAGGCCGGCGTCTCTCCTCCCACAACGCTCAGCCGCCTATCACAGTCCGGCAGAGCGATGTGGGGGCAGAGACAGCGCTGTCACGGGAGGCTGGGCTGTCACGGGAGGCTGGGCTTTCCTCTCTACACGGCTCGATCAGCCTCCTGTGACAGCGTTTCAGAGAGAAAAGCAAGGTACAAACACTCAGTGATCAGTGATCGCTGAGTGTGTGCACATAATTGAGGACATGGTATGTTAACTATATCCTCAATTATGAATGAATGGGAGTGATCTACATCACCCCCATTCATTCATCATTGCGGTTATAGTAAACAATGTTCACATGTTATCAATGAACAGGAACACTCAGAGGATTCCTGTTCATTGATAACTGGGGATACAGAAAAAGAGATAGAAAAAGAGATTGAGAACACAGAGTCCTCTATTTAAAAAAAGGGAAATATCAGGAGTCTGTTTAGACCCCTAATATTTCCCCGTAGCCCCTTAAAATAAAAATATTTAATGAAAAATGAAATAAAAATAAATATAAAAAATAAAATACTTAAAAAAATTAAAAACATTTTCAGTTTCGGTCTGACATTTTTTTTTAATTTCGGTTGCGTTTCGGTTTTAAAATTTCCATTTCGGTGTATCTCTAAGTAATATGCATCCTGAAGACCATCCTGTCACTAGAGGTGACCTCCTGAAGACCGCCTTGTCACTAGAGGTGACCTCCTGAAGACCGTCCTGTCAGTACAGGTGACCATTTTTTTACTCCCCTGTCAAGGAGTGTTTTTCTACAGGAAACTAGTTGTGCTATTTTGGAACATGGGCCCCCTACTGCGATAGGTTTGTCCTCTTTTTCCAGCTTCAGTATGTGGCCTATTATGCATGCTCGGTCTTTTAGGCCTCACATTCCTAATTCTAATTACATTTTTTTACCAGTATGTGCAGATTTGATGGCATGCTCTGCAAGCAGGAGCTAGTTCTGACCTTGTTGGCCCTCTAACTCAAGGTATCTGGCATCCCTGCAGTTATTTCTTACTCTGATTCAGAACCCACTCAATCCTAAATCTCAAACTTGATATCCAGATGCTCTGTCTTTTGCTGGTTCTTCAGACACTCAGACCTTTCCTATACCCTCTTCTCTAGAAAACTTCCTAAAGGAAGACTGGAAATGTCCAATTCATCCAAGGCCCTTCCCTGGTGATATAAAGATTTTGCCTATAGGAACAGACTTTCTGGCTACATGGTCCCTACCCTTTGTGGAGCTCTGGTTTTAATGGAATAGACACCCACCATATTGCTTCTGTGAATTATGTCTTTACCTATAGGGAGTTTACTTGATGCTCACTTGGAATCCCTCCTTAGAGAAATGCATTTGAGGGGCTCATAGGAATTGGGAATATAAAACGAGGGAGGTGGAAAAGTGTGTGTGAAACTGGGGGGGCTATAATCTGACAGGGATAATTAGGCTGGGGGAAGACAGCAGGACATGGGTGGGGGGAATAGTAAGGTTGGCTGAGAGGATTTGAAGGCCATAAAAAGGGAACTAGAGCTGGAGAACAATAAAAGTGCATATTGTAGAGGAAGGTTTCTCAACAAGGGTTCAATGAAAAAGTTGTCCAAATAAATGCATTTTCCACTGAGCACCAATGTACCCAAGTTTTATTATTCATGTATTCTATCTACAACCCTCTGCCCATGATAATGTCTGATGAGCGAGAGATCTGAACATTTTTTCCCCCAAGGGTTCCATTAAATATTAAAGATTTAGATTTTGTGAATGAATACACCAAGGTCATTTGCTCAAGTGTATATACCCTTTCGGTGTGTTGCCAAACCCCCGAGAAGTTGGAGGTATCCCCCTCGCTTGCTATTCCAGTAACAATTCAAAGTAAGGGAAATCCCTGTAACTAGAACCAGTCTTCACAAGAACAGAAGCAGATGTGAGAAATACAAATCTTCACTTTAATCTTCTGGCTCACAAATCGATTTACATACATATGTATAGAAAATGGACACCATCAATCTTAAATATACCACAGCATCGGGAACTGAAAGGAAATTGTAAACTTGTATCAAACCTGAATAACTATTAGTAGCCCTTCTGCTCATCATTTCCATTGCTCCATATCAGGTGGAGCCCGTTTGGCTGTTCAATACTTGTAGGTAGGACAGCAAAAATGACGGGATATTGTGAACAGACTAGAGAGTTTCTAATGCCCTAGATTCTGCATTATGAAATCAGACTCTATACATTTGGCTTTATCACAATCTTTGTAGAATTGACCCAAATTGTCCATCCAAACAATGGTCATGCTGTATGACTTCTCAGCCTATCATTTCTACAGCAATCATCATTCAACATCTGTCTGTAATCTTCATATTATACAGTCAGATTACAGGAGAGGTGGGGAGGTGATGACAGTATTTGGGGAGGTGATAACAGACAGTATTTGGGGAGGTGCAGCTGAAGATGTAAGAGATTACAGCAAAAGCTGGTATTGCCGACTTCCTTCTGCAAATGCTAGGTGACAGGCTAACTCATCCTCTTGGTTAAATACTTTCAAGTCACCAATCCAGATAAATATAAAGATAAAAAGTCAGTGACAAACTAATGAAGCAAGTCAAATGATTCCATGTCCTTCCGAGTGGCTTTTGCCCAGACCTCTGTGGGGCAGAAAAGCAGCCATATAAATGAGCCCTACCAGTGTTTTCTACAACAGGTCTCCCGCTGAAGCTACACCCAACACACTTGCTCCTCAGGTAACTTCTATGTAAGCTCCTGTTGCTGCAATAATTCAATTCGATTGAAATCAGCTTGTTTCTAAAAGGATCAAACTAAATGTTAGCAGGTCATCTATCTGAACCCAAAATCAGACTTGGATAAGAGACCTGTACTTACAAATGGTTGATTGATGTATACCGCACAACAGTGTAGATAGAAGGTGTCACTTCTGCTTTGAGGACTGCCATCACAGGTCTATAGGTCTATTGCTCAGTGTCCATGTTGCCTGTCTGCCCTGAAACAAATGAAGACATCTTCTCCACATTCGGGTTCCAGTCAGTCTTTGGTGCCACGAACTATAAAGTATTCTGCACTGACCTCATGTAATTGTTTGAAAGGCAGGCCACTAACTGCTGAACCCAGCCCATGGGTTTGAAAGTTGACTGACCCCTTAAATAAATCTCGTCATAAGAGAAAGAAGAAAGCCATCACTGCTGAAGATCACCTGGACAGGCCGAGCCTCTTGCCGAAAATACTTTAGACGTCCATTCACACTGCTTCATGCCCTGTGCTGCCAATTATTCTCAATGGCACTCCCATATACATACATGGTTTAATGTCCATACCTCAGCACGTCACAATGCATGGTATAAGGAACACATGCATTGCATTTTGCTGCATGGGACAAAAAAAAAGACCAGGCAACTATGTTTTTTTGGGCCTATGGACACACATTAGGGGCCCATTGAAAATGAACGCAAATACCACAAAATGTGCACCAACTGGCACATTAGTGTAAATAGGCCCCAGGTCCCTGACCTCAAACAGGAATACAAACTAGGACCTATATAGACCAGACTTTACTCACCTTTCTAATCTACATACATGACTTGGGTTACTGACGTGTATGCGTTTAAATAAGAACACGGGGCACAAAAAATCTTAACCCTTGCATGGGCAGCTAGCCATGCATTGCAAAGGGTAAGTGCTTGGTTTAGTCTAGGGTGAAAAATAAAAGATATCCTCACCTGAACCTTGGACCTGGCTGCCTGCAAGACTGGTCCCTACAGCCTCTCTTCCCTTATGCTGCAGTGGCCTAAGAACCTCATCACATCCAATACAGTATATAGACATCAGCACTTACCATTTTTGTGTGTCAGTTCTCCTTTCTAAGTATTACTTTGTGCTGAAATCTTCAAATGCCCCCTTCCCTGGATCTTGTTATTGGGCGACTCCATCACCGTACAGGGTGCCATGGAGTCACCTTTGCGTGCGCGCTCCCGGCTGCCAATACACAGCGTGCATTCAAACTGAGAGTCCCGGCCACAGGCCCCTCCCCTTTTCCTCCTCACCACAGCTTCAGCCTGTGCAGCGAGCAGTGCACTGTGGATGTAAAGGGCACACGCTTCTGTACCCCCCAGAATTTAGAGAAATCTATTCTGTGGGACCTGAAGCCACAGCAGTACATTTATATTTTAGTAATCCTTTAACCTTTGCAGGGAGGGGGTGGCCCCACTGCAAGGGCTATGATTATCTCTGCCCAGAGTTCTCCTCTAAAGTTAGTAGGTCATCATCACAGCCAAGCATCGAGCATTTGCAGAGTGTGTTCAGCAATGACCTCAAAATAGTTTACAGATAAAACACATGCGCCTCCAATCACACCCGGGCGACATGAAATATGCACTTTTGCAGCACGTTTTGTTTGCATTGTAATGGGCAGATTGTAGCACACTGATGTGGACAGACGTGTGTTTTACATGCATACAAATATGCAAGAACACGTGCAAACACGTAGCTACTTCACCTGTGTACAAGGGACGGGCGTTTTGCATCATGGCCATAATAATGAATGGGAATTTTTGAGCAGAAAAAGCGCTACAAACGGCTGAGTGTGAATGAGGACTCAATGGGAAGCAGCTGCTGGAACACAGCGAATCCCAAATGTTTACCCAAGTAGGCACAAGGTAAGGTGTAATGAAAGTGACATATATTGGACTTCATCTGCCATTTTCACACATTTTCATAAAACTGGAAGTTTTGCAATCATCGCTGTGCACAGAGTTCAAGTTATATATTAAAAATAAATATTTGTGTTATACTTTCATATGCTCTTCAGATTTAGATGAACTGTCATCATTGTGTTTATAAAAGAGTGGCAGAAAACAATGAGTAACCTGCCTGCTGGCTGAACCGTAACAGTGGAATTCCAGCTTTGGTAGTCCTGATCCTGCATACAGAATACAGAATCCAGTCAGCAGCTTTTACAGCAATCGCTCTTCCAGGCCCAGATGTAACCATTGCTGCAGCCATTCCCCATCTCTGAACATTCTCCTCCCATTCACATTTCATGTTCTCACTTGTCCTGGTTAAGGAACATCTTTGTAAAATGATCCAGCTCATTTTCAAGGTGGACCGCTTTGTTTCTGGGGGGAAAACAACAAAAAACATAAATGCAGCTTCAAGAAAAATGAAAACGCCAAATTCCAAGTATACTTATCCCAAAAAATCGTATATGGACCTATTGACATAGAACAAGTGGAAATAAAGTACACAAAGTGCAAAATATATTTAAAGTGGAACTTCAGGTAAATAGTTTTACACACACACATAAAATACATATAAGGGATCTGTTTACCTGCCAAGAAATGTATATAGCTGTTCACCCAGTCTTGAGATTTACACAGCTCTGCCACACATAACAGCCATGTCATCTGTGCTGCAGTTCAGTAATATTTACAGGTCTCCTCCCCACCCTATTCCTGTGACTGGACAGTGAAAGGAGAAGCAGCAGAATAATGAGCTCCTCTCTCTGCTCTCCTATCAGAATGCTCCTTGGACTGCAGCACAACTGACTGGCTCTAAGTCAAATGTAGGTACTTACATTTAAATGTATATTAGTTAAAGAGCTGCATTCATTTGGGGTATTTTATATCTGCGTGGAGTACAGCTTTGAAAAAAAAAGTAACAAATAGGATTATGATGCAAATCCATTTGCGTCAAACGCTTCTTACACAAAGCTCCTGCGGTCCAAAACTTCAGCCAAAGTGCCTATGCACCGCAGCCGCACATTTAAAGAGGAACCTTACCCTAATCTTTGAACTGACAACAAAAGCACCTTTAGAAATGTTTAGTAATGACAATCTACAAACACATACTTCTAGATAATTGCCCGCTTTGTATTCTTTGCATTATTTATTTCTCTTTTCTTCCCCAGTCTTCTGACAGCGGCCATGTTCACTAAGGGCAGATTACTAGCTCTCCTATTATTTCCTGGATTTCTGGCACATGTGACTAGGACATGTGACCATGCACATCATCTCCCTTCCCTGAGATCTCATGAGATTGCAGATAAGTTTTCCCAGTAATGCTCTACTGATGTAATCTTCCCAGGATGCATCACTAATGCCCAAGAGGACCAGGAAGTGGAAAAATATCAATTTGAAGTAAAAGAAGAATATGATTAACTCATGAATGTAAGATGATTGCAGAGCAGCATGCTGAGGTGATTTTTTATGAAAGAGGGTAAAGGTCTGCTTTAATAAGCAAGGGATCAACCACAGCAGTGGCTAGATCACATTTAAGGGATTTAGACTAATCACATATGGTCTGACAAAGTAAAGTCAGGATCGGGTGTAGAGCAGAGCACTGGAAATAGTTTCTAACCGTTTATAGGTTGGGTACCTAAAGACAGGTGCAACCTACACAGCTCTACACATGGTGTGTGTGTGTGTGTAAACACACTCACACATATATACATACATACACACACACACACAATTTATAGGCTACATTATAATATTGTCAATATTTCACCCTGCAGGAAGGACCCTGTGTGGCCCCAAAACATTTCCTGAATGGTACATTTGAAGTGATTTCAACTTTAATAAAAGCAAAAAACAGTCCACCCTTTAAAAAAAAAATTAAAAAAAAAAAAAAAAAAAAAACACAAAAAAAACTAGGAATGCACCGAAATTGCGGCACATGCCTGGTTTCTCTCCTGCCCGCTGGTTTGCTCTGTATCTCCTCTGACACAGCGCAGCATCCAGCAAAGGGTAGAGAAAGTGTCACAGGAGGCCGAGCGGTGCGGGGGAGGAGAGCAATGTGAGCGGCCAGCGTGTCACAGGAGGCAGAGCTCTCCTCCCCACAGCCCCGCTCAGCCTCCTGTGACATATCAGGAAAGTGGTGTGGGGGCAGAGACAGCTGCCAGCAGTGAGGGAGGGGTCAGCTGTCACAGGAGACCAAGCCATCAAGGCACCTCTATATAGTGCGGTCCTGACTCTAAACGATGAGAGTCTCCATCTTGGAGCACATGGGGCAAAAGATTACATTGGGTGCAGGTTTGTCAGGAGGAAGTTTGTATGGAGGTGCCTTGGCGCGGCTGTGCGGCTTTCACATATTCTGCAGAAGACGTGCATCTAAACCTCTGCTTTTAACCTTAGCAGTTAGACAGGTTTTTTTGCATGCTGGCTGGTGAGTGTGCTGGGAAACTTTTTGCTGTTTTACTGTGTGAAGCCCTTCCGTGTGCACCTTGCTGTAAAGCTGGTAACGAATTGCGTGCATTTGTCATTTGTTTTGCTTGACCGAAGACAGAAGATCACCGGAGATCTCCTTCCTGCACCGATCGCTCCTGTGACAGAGAGTCAGGCTGGAGAGTGGGTACAAGCACTATTTTTGCAGATCGCACTGGACCGGAACGCAGACACTGATGTGCCTGCATTCCGAATGCGGGCGATCGCACTGCAGGCGTGGTGCGTGGTTGCAGTGCCATTGACTTCAATGCACAGTCCCGCCCCCTCCTGCAGTGAGGCGGCCGGCTTGCGTTTCAGAGGCTGAACGCTCGGAAATGCAGACTTTGGGGTGTGAAATGGCCCTAAAAGCTACAAAGTGACCAGTTCAAGAAAGTCTCGTCACAGATGCAGTGTATGAAACTCAGTACAACGGATTTTAGGATTAATTGGTAACTATGTCCAGAAAGTGAGAAAAATCCACCGATGCAGCGCTAGTCATTCATTTCTCCAAATAGAGAGTCACAGATGTGGCAGATCAGACAAGACAAGGATGGAAGAGGAACGCTTCATGAACTTAAATACCCACCCACCCATTAACTGCCCCTTTCCTTAAATATTAGGTGGACCCTGCCACCCATTAACTGCCCCTTTCCTTAAATATTAGGTGGACACACTTTCACAAAATCTACATGATTGTTACCTGAAAACTTTGGCTTGGTGGTGTACTTTCTCAAGCTGTTTGATTTCTTCGGACCGTTTGTTGATGGATTCCCTTAGATGTCTTTGAGTAATATCAACCTGCTGACAGAGTCGGGTAAAAATGCTGTCCAGCTCCCTGGAAGAGATATAAAGTGAGATACACTATTTAATATTTTGATATAATAATAATGGAATATATTGAATTTGATTTAATGTGCTGGCAAAGTAGAAAGGATAAGTGAACATTTACTAATTGTGGCCAGCAAAGTGTTTATTCAGCCGGGATTTGAGGGCAGAGCAGATACACAACCATCGTGCAAACTAGGGATGTCCCCATATCACTTTTTCAAGACCAAGTACAAGTACTTCCCCTCATGTACTTGCTGATACCAATTACCAATATTTTTTCTTAAAGGGACAGGTGACATGTTAAAAAAACCAATGCAGACTAAAGATTTTAGGACAATTTCTTTATGATTATGAAGAACTTTAAATTTAAGTCTGTTTTAGAACAATAAAACATTTGTATTTGCTTTCACACAGCTGTAATGAAACTACAAATCCGATCATGCATCTGCCTCTGGGATCATTTACCCTATTCATGTTTTCAACCGCGATCGTGTGGGACCGCCCAGGCGGTATTGCCGTGGGAAACCGTGCGCTCTGATTGGCGCAAATGGAGTGCCATTAGAAAACAATGGCACTGCTGGCGCAATCGGCGGTGGTGTTCGATTCAGTGACCGCCCTGCCATCCGTTTCGTGCACGATGACCGGGCGGTCATGGATCGCACACCACCGCCGATCGCGCTGACAATGCAATTTTTTTCTAATGGCACCCCAGTCGTGCCAAGCAAGTATGCGTGGTTTTCCGCCACAATACCGCCCTTCCCGTGCGGTTGCACACGATTGCGGTTGAAAACACTGCACGTTTATTCGCATGCAAATGATGGGGGCAGCGGGGCTGGTTTTCATGTTTTTACATTTTTATTTAACTTCTATCACACAGGGGATAACAAGCCCCTGTGTGATAGCATTTGGAGGTGACAGGTACTCTTTATTGACCCTGTCACCTCCAACACAGGAGTTCTAGGACAGCACTGTGCTAGAACTCCTGTAACAAGAACGAGCAGCGGCCGGGCACAGAGGCTGAGGGAGGTGACAGCCTGTCACCGCTGCACGCCCCCGGCTCTGTCACTGCTCCACGCCCCCCGGCTCTGTCACCGATATACACACATCCCCCCCTCCGCTTGCCCGGAACTACATGTCTCGGGTGTCGGGCGATACGAATTCAGCACCGACGCGCAAGCATCAGCGCTATGTATCGGGGCATTTTCACAAGTACAAGCACTTGTTAAAATGCCCTGTATCGGCCCTGATACCGACGCTAGTATCTGTATCGATACATCCCTAGTGCAAACCCAACTTACTATTCAAGGTTTGCTGCACTCTAACTTAGGCTTACACTTCAAATTTTGTACGGTTCTTGATGAACTTGTCAGCTGAACAGAGCTAGCAGCCAATGAGCTGTCAGCTCTGTTTGGGTTTTCTAAAAGTGGCCAGTAGCTGCTGTCAAAATACAAAGGAAACAGCAGGAGATTCTGCAGGAGATGAAAGCTCATAAGCGTTGATTGAAGAATCTGTTCCATTTTCCTTGTTCAGCCGGCAGGTTGAACGAAGAAAGTAGAGGCGTGTTTAACGGACTTATATTTGTAACACGGCTGCAGCAGTGTAACCTTCTACAACATGTACACAGCTAAATAATCACTGCCACTGACTACTGTAATGATCACTGAAGCAGGAGCTGTTCTGATTGATTGATATTTGCAGATCAGGTTTTCACATGATGTCAGTGGAAGTGCACTCAATGCTTTGTTGTATATAAATGTCCTGACTGATGACATGTTTTATTGTTCCACCAGCAGAAAGCAGCTCATCTTCAGCGATACAAACAAAGCAAATTCACATACACCGTCCCATCAACTAAAGGTTGTCTTAGGTATAGACAATGTGTCCCAGTCTAAGGACATTTCTCAGCAGTACACAGTTTGATTCAGCAGCTCCCAGCAGCTTTCCACACACCTGTGTGACTCTGACCGCTCTACACCTCTCATATGACACTGGTCCTCTCGGGCTCTCCAACACACCCCTCGTGTGCCACTAGCCCTCTCTGCCTCACCAGCTCTCCCAGCCTAGTCAGTTGTTCCTCGTGTGGCTCCACTGCACACCACAACCTGGCTTGACCCTCCTGTGCCTCCAGCACACACACCACCTGGCTCCACTCTGACTCCTAAACATCGACCTTCCCCGTTTCCCAGCTGGAGCCCCAAAAATTAGCCAGCACCCCTTCCATATGGGCTGTGCACAGGTGTGCAATCATTGGGTGCTGGTCACTACTAAACCACAGACCCGGGAATGGAGATCTCATCCCTACCAATTCTCTTTGAAATCTCCCAGGATCAGGAGCAAAGACCAGAAAACCTGGAAAGCAAATTCTTTCACTGTAAAAGTACTTGCTTCATGGAACCCCTCAGCCCCTCTGGCTGAGAGTCCTGGGAGACTGTCGCCAAATTACACCATGGCGTCGCCATGAAATGTATGTATGTATGTATGTATGTATGTATGTATGTATGTATGTATGTATATATATATATAAGACAGGAAGGAACCATCGTGCATCATATACTCCCTAAATGATCACATACTATTATCCTGTTAGCTATACAAGTAGTTTTTAGAGGGCACACAACTTACTTCTGCACTTGGTGGCTGCAGTTTCCACTGGTAATGCTAACAATCAACTGCAGTTTGTCTGCTGCATAGTTTACAAACTGTTTCTTGAAAGTCCTCTCCTTGGCTCTTGTGGTCCATGTTAGCCTCTCATACCCATACAGACTACCGTATGCCAACAAAGAGCATGCAATTAGCTTCCAGCCCACAGCTCTCCAGATCTGCACCAAAAAACAAAAAACTATTACTTACAATATGACAGACATGCAGATGTAACATTTCCTCAGATAGGCATCAGTCTTTTTTTTATAATGCAGCACACAACAATGCACGGATTTGCATTACCAAGCATCGGGGTGTGCTGCAATGCATGTGTTGGCAAGGTGCACTGAGGTGTCATTAACAATTACGGTAATGGGACCGCAGAGCAACAGTGTCAAGCATGTAGGTTAAATTATGGACAGGATCAGTTGGTTAGAACTTACTTGGAATCTAAACCATGCACCATATAGATTCGCCTGCACAAAATTGTTTTTGGCGATTGTCACATTGACTGCTTTATAAGTATGCCCCTAAGTGATTCCTCAATTGCCACTATTAAGCCAAACTACAAGCATTGATATTTTAATGGTTTTCCAGATGCATGGAGTAGCATATTAGGATATTAACCACACAAAAGCAATGACTAAAAACAGCAAGGTACGACAAAAAAGAGTATTACTGTATATGAACTGCAGAGAAAAGGACATCTACTCCATCATTTTCAAACTGCGATACCAAAGTAGTAAGTTGGGTTCCATCAATGAACCATACATCGAACCGTTATCAGCCAAGACTAATTGTTGGATCTACAATCTCTAACTCATTGTTAATGTATCCTGTCATTTGCAAAGGAAAAGCACAATCAACGTTTCAGGGGTGGGACTGAGGGAAAATGGCTGCCCCTATTTTTCATCTTCTGTTGCTTTTTAGGATTGTTATAAGATGTGGAATATTTACAATAAACATTAGTTGACTGAAAAAAAAAAATAGGATTTTGTACTCATCATAAAATCCTTTTAAGGTGCACAGGAAGTTTTTCACCTTCGGGTTATACTCCTGCCTATAGGAGGATTGGACAATGGCAAACAAACCGCAGGCCAGCCCAGGACAAACCCCTCCTACTACCAGTATGCCTTAGTTTTCTACACACAGAGTGGTGGGACCCGTGTCCCTCAATGGACTCCAAGCAAAGGAGTTTACAGCCAGGACAACAATCCTGTTTTCTTTCTTGTTTTTGGAGGTGCACAGAAAGTCTTTCACTTATGGGACGTCTAAAACCAGCACAACTGAGGTGGGGCAAACACATGCCAACAGGCCGCAAAGAAGAAAACTAAAAAAATTCAGAGAAAACTGGGGAATGTCAACAACTCAAAGAACCACCTGAAGGACCTTATGCCCAAAGCTGGCATCAGATGACGCTGCAATGTTCATCTGGTAGAACTTAGAGAACGTGTGAACAGGAGGCTAGATGGCAGCCTTGGAAAACAATGGCCCGATTTCAAAAAGCACACACAGATCTAGAAGAGTGCCTTGACAGGAAAGGGAGGGACCTGATCCTTGAGAACATAAGCCTGGATAATTGTTTGTCTAACCCGCCTAGATATGGTGAATGCGAAGCTGGTGCACCTTACGGGGACTATCAGGGATGACTAAAATTGAATCACTCTTTCTGAAAACAGCAGCAAAATCCTTCTTATAAAAGAGAGCTGAAGAAAAGACATCCACCCTCCTAGGACCCTAGCACAAAACCTAGCAGTAGAGGGGTTATCCTGGGCTGGCCTACATTTTTCCCCGTAGGCAGCAGTATAACGCAAAGGTGAATGACTTCCTGGGTCACACAATGAAGAGGGGAAAAAAAAAGAAGCTTTTCCAGATAGTTAATAAATCCTTTAAAACAAGTAATAAACCTCTGAACTAGAAATGATCTTACCACTCCTCCTATGATAATCACTCCCATAGAACCTCTTGAGGTCAAGGACGCCAATCCAGACATCGCTGTGACCATGATCTCATCTTGTGACATGGATTCTGGAGTCTGTGCTAGGTTAGCAGTTGTGGTGGGTGTGCTCACGGGTCGGGGAATCTTAAAAAAACAGAGTTAAGATGTATTAAACCTGAAAGCAGGCAATGTGTACATTGGATATAAAAACGTGAGGTTCTTTGCAAAGCAGAGGAGGCCTATGATGGGTAGGTCTAGACAGTGATTGGCCAAAGTATCCAAAGTTGCAGTGATGTGTTGTGTGACCCATCAGATGTATACACTGGAAGGATCACTGATTTTCTTAGGGAAAGCAAAGCAAACAAATGATTGGTTTAAAGGAAACCTGTGCTTTGCCCATGCAAGGAAAATCAACAGGTTTGCGTTAATGTCCCCTTGGTAGCAGCACATACCTTGTCTTCGTCCC